TGAGAGATAGCCTAGATTTCTCTCTTTTCTTAGCCAAATTCCCTCCGCATACCCAACCAGGGTCCAAGTCCCACTGATTCTATTTTTTTTCTTTTTTAACATATTTCAGCCACACTGGTCCATTCCCATTACTCTCAGCATTTTTCACCTTGACTCTTGCAATAGTATCTGCACTAATCTCCTTGACTTCACTCGTCATCAATCAAGTTATTTATATTCCGAGGTAAAATGTCTCTGGTGGCTTTTCATTGAATATGCAAACTCCACTGCGTGATGTTTCACACTCTTGATGATCTGGCTTCAGCCCACCTTTACCTGTCTTTCCTTCCACACCTGGTCACACGATTTCATGCTGCTGTGATGCTTTTCCTGAGCTGCTGACTGCAGCTCTTTACCAAGTACCCATGCAGAGGTAGAATTGCCCCGTCCTGTGCCTTCACTTGTACCCATTTACCCTGATAGGTTTTATTGAACTTATTTGTTCACATGCATTATTCACTTTGTATCTCTTGCATCTCTTAATATGGATTTAAAAGCATTTTTGTATAAATATCAATGTCAGTAGATATTTATCAAACACCTCTTCAAGAAACTGGAAAAATAAAAACAACCTCCAATTTCTTTGATATTGCCTCAGAGTGCTTTATCTCTAGCGTGTAAAGAAGTTGTGTGACAGAAAATAGAGAAGCTCCCTGGTCGCAAACATTATTGGTGCCCACCCCAATGTGTTTCTCCATTCCTTAAAAAGATGATGTAATTATGCCCTACTTGCATTAAGTTGATTTGATCTCCACAACCATCCCATAAAATCGTCATCGTCACTGTTGTCATGGTCATCCTCATAATTATTTTATTTGTGGTGGGGACATACTGTGGTGTCCTCTAAGTATACAACCTGGCAGGCTCTCCCAGAGGCCCTGGAACTGAAAGTCTTATAAACCAAATTAAAAATGCTGAAATCAGTTAGTTAAATCAATGTAAAAATACAGCGAGAAGCAAGGGGGAAGAGATTGGGTAAGTTAAGACGTTTAGTGCAAGCAGATGGAAGGACCACACTACCTCTGGGCTGTTCAAAGTTCCTGTGTCCTGACTCTCTCTTTACCTCACCTGCCTTCCTCACAGATGGTGTGGTTACAAGGACGAGAATTGAGTACAGGCAATAAAGTTTAGGGATGGAAGGTTCGTGGTGCCGATACATGCTTGCTGTGTGGGAGAGGTGAAGAGGAAAGTATGCATGGCCACGGCTATGGCTTGGTGATGACCTGATGAAAGGTAGTGCATGTTCTAAGCACAGGACAAATAGGCCACAGTGGGTGATATCAATGGGTGGCCAATTTGATGTAGATAAAGCTGACCCATGCTTTATGAATATTTAAGATTTATTTTGCTTTCCATCTCTTTCTATCTACAAATAACACTCTCATTTATTTGTTTTATTCTTTTAACCTATGTTTAACACAAAAATGTCTATTCTATGTTTAATATGTTATATACAGTAATGATATACTTATTATCTACACTTAACATTTCTTATGAGTTTCATCTATCCCATTTGTTTTTCTTGTCCTTTAAAGCAGAATCACGCATTACATTATGAAGCACATAACAGGGTCTTTAGACCACTTGCCCAGAGTCCCCACATTTATTGCATGGCAGAGTCAGGAGTTCAATACAGGAAATCTGGCTCCAGGTAAAATGTCTCTGGTGGCTCCAGGTAAAATGTCTCTGATTTCTAATTTGCCTGCAGAAACACAGCTAGTAAGACTGACCAGAAGTTCAGTGCTTTTTCCACTAACTGTTCTTTATATATCAGCACCTTTGCGGCAGGAGACCTGTCTTGTTCATGTCTGTATTCTTATCACCAAGCATAGGGCCTGCACAAATACTTGTTGATCAAGAGAATATCAAATTTTATACTTTTGCTTTTCTTTTGGGTTAAGTTTAAATGGACTAAATAATTCCAATTTAACATTTAAGAACATTTAACCAATGTCCTATGGTAGATGATTGGATAAAGAGCGGTGGTACATATATACAATGGAATATTACTCAGCCATGAGAAGAGATGAAATACTGCCATCTGTGACAACATGGATGGACCTCGAGATAATCATAATAAGTAAGTCAGGCAGAAAAAGTTGAAAACCACATGATATCACATATGTGGGATATAAACCTAAAAGCAACAAACGAACGGGACAAACAGAGACTCATGGACATGGACTATAGACTAGTGGTTACCAGAGGATAAGGGGAGAGGGGGAGATAGACAGGGTAAAAGGGGTCAAATATGTGGTGACAGAAAGAAATCTAACTATGAGAGGAGAACAAAAAATTTTTAAAATAAAAATAAAAAAATAAAGTCACTTTATCTTCAGTATTTTAGATTTTTAAACTGAATTAACCTAAAGAGATATCCAGTTGCTAGAGAGCAAAAGATAAGGATCTGTGAACAGAGATCTAGCTCTGATTGTGAAACGGACCCTTTCAAAGGGATTGTGTTGTTTTGCTATGCTTCATTTTCTTCAGTAGGAAAATGGCCTAGCAATTCTCATCGACCCCATTTACCAGGAACTGTTATTACTATTCTCCTATTACTAGCATGATCTAAAAAAATGATGTCTGCATTATGGATTAGAAATTATAAAAAATGTAAAGTTTATATACATTCATAAAATTAATCAATATAAACACATGAACATGATTAAAAATAATAAGTATTTATAATCTTTTAAAGGCACATTTTATGCTGCATTTGGATATAATTAATATCCTGCAGTTTGCTGTTTTCTACAATTTTTGTCATCCATTTGACTTTTCTGAAAGAAGTAACAACCTTCTGAAAGAAGCTAAGAGAAATTATATGCTCTTAAAATATTTTAATATCTCTTTTGTCTCACATTTAAAACAGGTATATATTGAAAAAATTCTCTTTTTTTCCAAAAAAAAGTGTATCCTTCTTACAAAAACATTGTTTCTCACTAGGAAGTTGGCAATAATCTCAATATATACAAGTCCACTTGAAACTCAACACAGTGGTTGTTCAACCTTGACTGCTCATTAGAATTACCTGGGAAACTTTTAAAAAATATACTGATGTCCCAGCCTTACCTCAAACCATTTAAATCAGAATCTCTATGGATGGGATTTAGGCATATGTATTTTTAAAATCTCAGACATTCTACAACATAATTGACTAGCCCTTTTCAAAACTGTCAAGATCATCTTAAACAAGGGAAGTCTGAAAATCTGTCACAGACAAGAGGAGGCAGAGGAGATATAATGACCAAACGTAATATGGTATCCCAAGTGAGATCTTGGTCTAGAAAAAAGGATGTTAGGGGAAAATTACTGAAACCAGAATAAACTGTAGAGTTAATAATAATCAATGTTGTGTGTGTCCTTTAGTTGTGAGTACATATCGTGGTAATGTATAAGGTGTTAACAATAGGGGAAACTGAATAAAGAGTATGGGGAAACTCTGTACTGTCTTTGAAACTTTTCCGTAAATCTAAATCTATTCTAAATGAAACATTTATTAAAATATCTGTCTGATATGGAGCCAGGGTTGAGAATCACTTACATAGAACACACTTACGTTGTACCAGAAAACAAAAAGACTACAATATTGAGCCCAATTTCCAATTGCTAGCATATGCAGTTCTAAAAACCTGAGGCCTAGAAACAATGGGCTGACACATTAGAACAGATTACATTTCTAGAGGCACTTCTAGGAAAAACAAATGGACTAATTGCAATAAACATAACTAATTGTAATAATCGTAATCCTGATCATTAATTCCTTCCAAGATGCACAAAAGAAATCATGATAGACTGCTTAGTAGAAGAGAAAAAAAACTATTCATAAACCATTTCTTAGTTTAGAATGGTAATTTTCGTTTTGATATCTGTGAAAGATATAAATATCTGGATTGAATATGTCTTCATTATAGTACCCTAATCGTTTGAGAAAATTGTGAGTGATTTATCTTTGCTGTTAGCAGTTCATTTTTTTATCTATAAAGAGGATTTAGTCCTGACCAGAAAGTTCTTGGGTATTGAGTTAATTTTTCCTCTCCTGCCTCTCCCACCGTGGCAGGAAGGAGGCAGGGAAAAAAGATCCCCTAGTCTTCCAAAATGAAGTCTACCTGGATGTAGCCTGGCCACCCTTCTGTTTTCATAACGGTTAAAGATATTTGTCATCTGTGTAAATCTCTAGAGGAAAGTCAGGATTGTGCCTAAAGAAATTACCCTGTACAAGCAAACGTTTGAGGAACAGCAATTGCTTGGAGACGGTGTTTCAAAAAGCTCCCTTTAAAATTTTTTGCATACGTTATTTTGTTTGGTGAAAATGTCGCCGATTTATAATCCAGAAGCGCTATGCAGCATCAAATTAACGCTGTAGTCACAGATTTCAGCTCAGATTTTTAACTCCATGCAATCTTAGGTAAATAATTTCTCTTTTCTGAACATTTCTCAGTTTCTCATCTGTAAAATGAATAGATTGGACTAAACACTCGCCAATGCCCCCTTTCAATTTGGACATTGAGATTTGGTGAGAAGGACTTCGAGAAACAGATTGGAGAGTTTTAGGATTTAAGGCTTTGGGTTCTTTGGGGCGGTATGGTATTGAAAAAGCTGGTCTTCTGTTTGTGTTTCTAGAATCGGAAGGGTAATTGATATGGGTAAAAATACGTGAAGGGGGAAGCGACTCTTTGGAGGGTGAGTTCCCGGGACTTTTCTGGAACTGACAAAGAAAGCAGAGCATCCGGCTGCTAGGCAACAACACCTTCTCGGGGGAGGGTGGAGGACCCCAGTCTGAGGTGTCTAAGTCAACGCCTTATTTATGAATAATTTATTTATGAATAAATTTATGAAATAGGTATCCTTTAAAAGTACACATATCTTTTCACCAAGTTTTGGCAAGCCCTAGTTCATGGGCGAGCACATAGCCGAATTCTGTTCGCGGTGGTTTTTCTTTTTCCTGTTCTCAGGCGCGAGGCGGGCTCCTCTCTGCTTAGGCCCCTGTCGCCGCGCGTTGCTGGGCAGAGCTGGACGCCGCCTTCTCCTCGGTCCCCGCCCTCCCTGGGTCTGGCCCTGGTTCTTCGCGGGGCGCCCTCGGCCACCATGGGCTGGGAGATGGAGCCGCTGCTACTGGCCTGGAGCTATTTTAGGCGCAGGAAGTTCCAGCTCTGCGCGGATCTGTGCACGCAGATGCTGGAGAAGTCCCCTTATGACCAGGTACTGGCCGGACCCCATCAGCCCGTGGATCCTGGCTATGAAGCAGAAGGCTCTGGGGGATCCCCAGGCCATGGGTGGGGGGCTCTTGAGTGGCAGGCTCAGGGCGAGGTTGACCATGTGATCAGCACAGGCACCTAGAGCGAGACTCCTGGAGCTGTGGCCCACGCACCCCTGTCCCCGGCGTACCCTTGAACCCGCAAGACCCATAAGTGCTGTGCCATGATTACCCTCCCCCCACTAAAAAAACAAAAACAAAAACAAACAAAAAAACTTTAGCAGCCCTTTTCCTTTAAGTGTCCTTTGAAGGAACACTTAAAGCCCTGACTTTTACTTTGGTTCGGAACTTTGACAATTAATTTATACTTGCATATGGATGGGCTCTTAAGCTCGCTGCGTGTGCGTTGTTAATTTCTAAAAACAATTATATATAAACGTGAAGATCTGTAACTTCCTACCGCTGTTCAAAATAGTTGCCTTTTTCTTTTTCAATCAAACGTGTGATCCTTCCATTTCATCTTAAGATTTATTCAAGAATGAAGAGCCTTCGATTCTGGGGCATGAATGCGACTTGAAGCAAATAATGCAAGTTAGAGAATGGGAATCTAGAAGGGAAAAATATACATTTATTAAGAGAGAGGGAGGATTTGGAAAAAGTGTTCCATTAAAAGAAGGAATGATGGTATTGATTAAAAGAGAACTTAAACTCCAGTAATAGTTTAAGTTCTCTTAAAGTATAATATTAAATAAAGCGAGCGAAAATATCACATACTATGTGTGTGTGAGAGAGGGACGTCTAGTGGGCAGGCAGTTCCCCGAAAGGCAAAAAGGAGAAAAAGGGAGAATAGGAGCAGAACTATGGCATTTTGTCAGTGCTTCTAGTAAATGCAAAATGTACCTATGTAGTTCTTATTTCCCAGCTTTTCCTCTGGTGATGTTGCCTTGGAGATATTAGAAAAAAGGAAAATGGACAGATACATAAGCAGAGGCATGAATGTGAACACGGTTACAGCTCTGCCTTAGCTCCCACCTGTGGGTGGAGGATAACCTACTGAGGTGAACACTTAAGCCTGAGAGCTAGTAAATCTCCTCTAGAACAATCCGTGTTAGTGGGAATGCGAAGCTATGTTCTGCTTGTGTTCGTTCACGTTAGTTAATAGGACTGTGTTTCTGTGGACAAGCATATTTCCAAGTGTGTTTCTTGGGACAGTAGTACAGATGCAATAGGTTTGGGAATCACGACAAAATACTGACTCCTTTACATTTGTACAGCAAAAATTTGTTACAGACCTATGATGTGCCAGACATTGTTCTAGGCACAATAGTTTGCAAGAACTTTACATGCTGTTTCTATTTTTCTATTGAGTTTGAGTGGTTTCCATTCTGGGTTCCAGAGAACACTAGTCCCAAGAGCTGTTCCGTGAAAGAAAATCTCATTAAATGCATTTGGGAAATGTATATTCCCTTCTTAGAGATTCAGTTCATACTAAAGGCTCTAAATTCTGAAGAAAAGAAAACTTAATTGTGCCTAATTTTGATTAATCCGGTAGTTCTGAAACTTATTTGACAACTGATTCCTTTTTTGACAGCTGGCAAGGGTCAGATATCTTTGTTGCTGTCATGCTAGGGAGATGTCATATTGGGAAATATTGGTATAGGCAAAGCTGCAGTGCTTTTATTAATAGGTAAGACCCCGTGATTTTAATGACATAATCATAATGACATTCACTACTGCACCAATGAATCCAGGTTGAGTTTGTGCAAGACACTGTGCGAGGACTTTATGTGTATTCAATTCAGTGATCTTTTATTGAGTGCTTCCTACTTGCCAGGCATAAGTTTTACAAATTGTATGTATTTCTATGCTTAGAATAACCTTGCAAAGTAGGTAACAAAAATAATAGCTAATATGTATTGAGTATTTGCTCTGTGTCAGGCTTGGTTCAGAGGTTTTAGATGTTATCTCATTTAATCCTCAGCTATTCTAGGAATTGGTACTATTTCCCCATTTTATAGATTGAGCACAATGAAGCACAAGGGGAAGTAATTTGTCCAGAGTTACAAACCTGGTGAGCCCCTTCCCTTTGTATCTGCTGTCTCTTTGGCATTTATGTGGCCTAATTTTTCAAAGCTGTGTGTTTCTGAACTTTTCCCAGTCTATTTTCCCATCTATTTTGCCTTTTTTAAGATTTTTGTCAAATGGTAAAGAATTTTGATATATCTGTCTACTTGGATTAAAGGTTCTGAGAAGTCCAGAAGAAAGGAAATCTGCCCAATTTTGATTAACCCAATATTCTGAAATTTATTTGACCACTGGTTCCTTTTGAGGGGAACAAAGGAACAAATATTTCCCTTGTTTTCCTGGGAGATGATGTTTCTTGGGGAAATGCATAGGCAAAGCAGCACTTTTTATTAATGGTTAAGAAGGGGCTATAGAAGAGATGTTGACTCTTTTTACTTAGGAAAAATAGGATAAACAAATTAAGTACTTTGTTTAAAAATCTCCAAATTAGCTGCTAAATGAGGTAAGAGAGTTGATATTTTTATTTGGCTTTTTATATAGCTCCCATTAGGCCTTCCTGGCCCTCTTGGAAGATTAAGACTTGTTCACAAGGTATGTTTGGTAGAACTGTGATTTTGCTAATGATAATGAAAAAAAAAGGTGGGTTCATAATGAGAAATATTTTTGTTATTATTGGTTAACCTTTAGATGTGATTAAGATCATTACGGCAGTAGGTTTTGTTAGGTCCTGGCCTATTCCATTGGCCTATTTGTTGTGAATTTGAAATGTCATAATGTGATACATAATTAAATTCTCATACCATAGATTTTTTTAAAATGTTATTTTTTGTTACATTTAATCGTTATGAGCAGGGGTTGATATGTTCAGCTCCTACAAATACCAGAATAGGCCCAGGAGAATTGGTATGAGATCTAGGAGAAATTTATCTTATTCTTTTCCTTTCTAATCCTTTTTATTTGTTTTGCTGAGGTAATTTATTTAAGAGGGAACTGTATATATTGCCAGAACAATGAGTAGCATTTCATCAGGAATAGAAGTTTAGCTTGATATTTCCTTACCAAACTGGGCTTTTGATACTTGGATAGGGCTGCTGAAAAGTTTACAAGTTATTCTTTTAGCCAACCTTTAACCACCATGCTTTTAGACTGTATGCTTTTCTTAGCACCAATTATATATTTTGAACCCAATTGTTATTTCATTTTGGAAATATTTTCCAGTCTGATTTTTCCAAAGAAATTCTGCTTTTTTCTTAATTAAAAAATTTAAAAAAATATATTTATGTTAGAGTGCTTTAGGAAGCTTAAGGAGGTTCCTTTGATTAAAAACTTGAAAATTCTCTTTCCTTTCTTTAGGACGTGAGTCCAGGATGGCAGATCTGTGTGGCCTTGCACAGTCTGGCACACAAAGGCTATTGTGTATTTGCTGAATAAGTGCATTGATCATATTCATATGCATTTTGATGGCATTATTCATGATCTTTATGATCATCCTCGTTACCCAATGATCTTTGTCCCTCCAGCCCCTACCCCTCATCCTTAATTCTCAGCCCCATAGGTTCTTAAGTGTACATTTATTTTTTCAAATAAATATAATTGCATTATGGAATTCTTAATTCATTTCTCATTTTGAGGGTCAGTTTTTTTTTCTGCCTGGATTCCTTCAGGAGAGTTTCTGATAGTAATTATCCTCATTGATATTTCTTACGGAGCTTTCATCGTTTCAGTGGAGGGAGTTAAATGATGGAGAGACTACAATCTATGAAGAACTAAATGAGATGTGATGAGCGCTCACATGATGGCCCTCAGCCCTGCAGTTAGCTGGTTTATCTTCACATGCTCTTTTAGCCTCCTGGGCTTTTTTTTCTTTTCTTTTCTTTTCTTTTTTTTTTTTTGCGACATCTACATTTTAAAGTAGAGGGCTTTTTCTCTATAGCTATTTGAATTACCATTTCTGTGCCACCAAACTGATTGTAGTACAAATGAGTGACTTGGAAGCAGTGCCTGGACACAGAGAAGAGCAAGGAAAATAAAATATTGCTACTGAGTGCCAAATGGATTCATTTTCACTCTTCCTTTTTTTTTCCCCAAAACAAAAAATAGCTTTCGTTTTTCATGTTATTTTTCACTTTTGGTTCTGCTTATTTTTCTCCTAGATGAAGAGACCCTCTCTCTAAAGTAATTTGTTATTTGTTATTCTTTTTATAAGTTGGTCCAAGTAGCTTAAAAAAGATAACATTTCAGTCTTGCTACATCAGCCTTTTGGAATGAAGCCCACCTCTAAGACTACTTCTACATTTATTTTTCCACTAAGAGATACCATTTTGGTATACTATCCTCGAAAATATTTATTAGACCTGTGCTTTCTATTAGGACATCTGGATTTTATTTAATTTTGATTCTCGCCCAAATTGGGGTAATCAGATTGGCCGGAGAATTATGATCCATTGTGGAATAGCTTGTTTCCTTAGAGCAATACATTTCTCTTTAGACACAAAAGGACTGAAACGTAGGCTGAGTGCAATAACAGGACCTTTGGTAATGGGGAAGGGTTCTTGAAGAAGATGGGTTCGGAACTGCTTCTCCTGGATGCAGAATGGTGAGAAGCAGAGGGCAGGGTCTTGTAAGCATGAAGTACATTAAGATTCTGATCAGTTAAGAACAAAAGAAGGATAACTGGTTAACTTATCATAGTTTCCCCGTTTGATAAACTACAGTAAGAACAAGTCATACACAGTGAGGTGTTGTCCTTTTTCAAAATGTTCTTTAAATCGTGGCTGAAAAAAGTGGTTAAAAATTATAAGAGATAAAAAGGAGAAATGCACAATGATATTCCACAGAACAGTCTGACCTAGAGGAGGGCTTGCTTTTACAGCTCATGTCGGTCATCCTGATTAGTTGCTTAATCTGATTACTGTTCTTTGTGTTCCATATGTCAGATTCATGGCTTTAAACCCAGTCCCGATTTTTTTTTTTAGCTCCA